TATATATATATATATATATATATATATATATATATATATATATATACATCTATATATAATTTATTTTTAATATTAATAAATATTTATTCCATATAGGCCCGCGACGCGTCCTCCTCCCTTTATCCCTGCCTCTTCCTCTTCACTCATCTCTACCCCTTTCTCTTTCTTCTTCTTCGCCTCTGCCTGTGCCTCTGCCACTGCCTAGAATGACAGTGACAATTGCTTGGATGAATATTATTTAATATTTTAGGCTGTAACAAAAAATTAATACTGAAATGATATATAAAACGTTAGATTTAAGATTTTAATTTTCCGTTAATCGCAATATTTTTCACGCATGAATAGTCGCAATCATATATTGCTGCTTGAAACAATTTTTCCTTCATTAATATTTGCTAATGATCAACTACTATTAAAGTACATAAAAAAAAACAGTGAAGAACAAATTGATAAGTATTGATGTAAATAAGAAAATTTTAATTGTACACCAACGGAGATACGTTGATACCTGAATGTGTATGTATCCGATTAACAGATATTGTGATTAACCGAGAGTTAAATATAACAAATAAAATATATAGATTTTCACACTTACGATTACTACAATCGGTTCACTCGCCGTCGAGGCCGTTGAAAACGAAAGGGAAAAATGCTAACGTGTGCGAGCTCGAGTCTGCGCTATTTCGCGCGATCTAGAAAACCAATAGATCGTATTTTTATTGTCCACAATTGGAATTTTTGGTTCATAATAGTACGATTAATATTCGATCGGTAAGTAAGACTTGAAAGCGCGCGTATATTTCGACATCTCCGACAATTTTTCCCTGCCGCTCACATTTTTTACTTATTTCTCGACAACCACAAAAGACATTGATGTGATTAAAAAAGCACTATCTTTTGCACAATTTATCTTACTGAAATTGATGGTTTATAATAATATAATTAATATCGGTATATTAAGTAAGGCGTGTAAATGCGCGTACGTTTCGACGTCGGGGGCAAGCTCATACATGCCGTATATATTTTTTTATTTATTTCTCGGCAAGCACAAATGACATCGATGTGATTCAAAAAGCACTAACTTCACCATCACTTGTCCAATTGAAATTTTTGGTGAATAATAATACGATTAATACCAAGTCGTTAATACGATTAATACTAAGCAAGGCGTGGAAGTGCGCTTTTATATTTTTAATTTCGAAATTAGCGACAATCCTTTTCTGCTGCTTTCATTTTTGCTTATTTCACAGCAACCACAAAAGATATCGATGTAATTCAAAGAGCATTATCTGATCCACAATTTATTTTATTTGAAATTGATGGTTTACAATATTACAAATAATACTAATGCTTTAGGTAAAGCGTAGAGACGCACGTACGTTTCGACGTACGTTGCGGTCAGACTCTTTCATATTGCTAGCATTTATTGCTTAATTTTGGCAACTATAAGGGATATCGATTTCGTTGGAAAGGGACTAACTTCTTTACACTTTACTCTTTTCAAATTAGTGATTTATAATATTATGAATAAGACTACTGCTGCATGTAAAGCGTGAAAGCGCACGTACACCTCGACTTACGTCGCGGTCAAGTGCTTGTATGCCGTCAACATTCTCTACTTTTTTCGGCAACTAACAAGATATCCATTTCGTTCGAAAATCACTGACTTCTCCACACTTCACTCTATTGTAATTAGTGATTTATAATTTTACAAATAATGCCACTGCTTTATATAAAGCATGGAATCGCGAGTACTTCTCGATTTACATCGCGGTCTTGCTCTTACATGCCTATAATATTTCTTGCTTGATTTCGATATCTAGAAAAGATATCGATTTCGTTCCAAAAGCACTGACTTCTGCACAGTTTATTCTACTGATATTAAATGCTTATAATAGTGCAATTAACACCAGCGCGTTAAGTAAAGCGTAGAAACGAGAAATAAGCAAAAAACTTGGCGGCATACAAGCACTTGACCGCGACGTAAGTCTAGACATACATGCACTTCCAGGCTTTACCTAAAGTAGTGGTATTATACGTAATATTATAAAGCACTTGTAACGATCCGTCCGCGAACGAAAGAGCGAACCGCGAAACAAAGACATGGATCGATACAAATAACGAACTTGCAATACATTTAATGTAAACACTACCGACCGAACGCGACAAACCGAACGCGATAAACGATAAACACCGAAACACACCAAATCGGTATAAAAGACAGCGCGAAAACCTCGGAATCAAGCAGTCTTCCGAGGCACTCCGCTAGACAGAGCCAAGGCTCTGACAGCAGAAGATATTCGCGAACACCGCTGCCAAGAGCACCGCCTCCTAGATCCTCCTTGATATCGTTCCGCCGCTCTTATAGAAATATCATACTAAAAATCATTGATAATTACTTATTATCCAGTATTTTTAATACTGAAAATAAGTAATTATCAATGATTCTTAGTATGATATTCTATAAGGGCGACTCGTTGAATACGTAGAGTCGACTTCCTCAATACCGTTCCGCCGACTCGTTGGATTCGTAGAGTCGACATCCTCGTAGACTTATCGGATACGTAAAGTCTACATCCTCGTTACCGCTCCGCCGACTCGTTGGATACGTAGAGTCGACTTCCTCGTAAACTTGTTGGATTCGTAAAGTCTATATCCTTGGTACCGCTCCGTCGACTCGTAGGATACGTGGAGTCGACTTCCTCTATACCGCTCCGTCGACGCGTAAAATACATAGCGTCGACATCCGCGACACCGCTCCGACGACCCGTGGGACCGACCTACGCGTCACCGCCGATACTCCGCACGACCACCTGACGAACTCCGACTCGCTGGGGGTCCTAGCCACGTAAAACATTCGGAGCATTATTGCTCTCGTCGAATAACGGATCTCGCCGCGACAGGAATTAAAGGCCCAAATGTAAACATCTCGCCTAGGGTGCGTTCAGATTCCTCATCCGGGTGCACTCTATTATTAGAAACACTATAATATATGTGACATATACTATAGCACTTCTAGTAATAGAATACACCCGGGTGGGGAATCTGAACGCAGCCCTAGAGCGCGAGACAATCGACGCGTCATCACACCAACCGCATCCCGCGACCGCCAGCAGCCTCAGCGTTACCGAATCATTTGGCAAACGTCAACAGACTCGCATGACGAGCGCAAAAACTTGACCATCAAACCAACGGCGTCGAGATAAACTGTAGATACGCATTGTAAATAGCCATTTAAACCCTTATAGAAATATCACACTAAGAATCATTGATAATTACTTATTTTCAGTATTAAAAATACTGGATAATAAGTAATTATCAATTATTTTTAGTATAATATTTCTATAATGGTGGTATTTTTCGTAATAATATAAACCACTAATTCCAATAAAGTATGGAGAAGTCAGTGCTTTCGGAACGGAATCGTTATCTTTTCTAGTTGCCAAAATTAAGCAAGAAATGCTATGTAAGAGGTATATAAAAGTAAGACCGCGACGTAAATCGAGATACGATTTACGCGCGATTCCACGCTTTATCTAAAGCAGTGGCATTATTTGTAAAATTATAAATCACTAATTACAATAGAATAAAGTGTGGAGAAGTCAGTGATTTTCGAACGAAATGGATATCTTGTTTAGTTGTCGAAAAAAAGCAGAGAACGTTGGCGGCATACAAGCACTTGCCCGCGACATAAGTCGAGACGTACGTGTGCTTTCACGCTTTACATACAGCCAGGGCCCGCAAACTCTTATAGAGAGAAAATGACCAGCGTTAGTGGCGCTCCCTGAGATGTGACACCCAGGGAATGGGAACTAAATTAGCCGCCATGTCTCATTTAAGATATCTTTGGAACGTCTTGGAGACAGACATGCATTTTATGTGGGAGAACTTGTAATTTTGTCACCATTGCAAGTAATTTTTGTTAAGTAATAATGGTAAGGACATAAGTGTCTTTATTAGTACGGAAAACGTTTATAAATTTTTCAGATTATATCATATAAATGTGTTCGTTCAAAGTTGTTTAACATTTTTGCAGGAGTTCGCAGTAAAGGATCAACATGGTACGAGCATGTTGTGTGTCTGGATGTACATTTGGGAAGAAAGCACCGTCCCATAAGTTCCCACGAAATGCCGAACGTCGGCTACAATGGTACAAGAGCTTAAATATCAGTGGAAGGACTTGAACAGTAAAAGTTGAGAGTATGCAACAAGCATCTTCGCGATGGTGATTTCAACTGCTCTCATAAATTGCGCGTTTTATTGAGCAATGCCATCCCTTTTACTAATTTATTATTGGATGAAAGGAATGCATTGGATAAAATGGAAACAGGGATACACAAGAAGACGACACTAGAAGACCCTAAACCAAATGAAAATACAGAGAACGAAAAAGAACCGGATGCATTAAAAGTCCAGTTAGAAGATTTAAAGACACAACAGCTGCAGACCGAAGAAACTGTAACCCAGCACAGTGAAACATTAAGGTTGCAGCAGGAGCAAATTAATGATATTTTACAAGAGCAAAAAAATAAAGTATCAGCGCAAGAAATACAGGAATTAAGAGTAAAAGTGAATAAACTGATGGAGTTGACTTGCCAAACGCATAACAGACCCGATCTTGGAGATGTTACTCGCAAACGTGCATTATCCCCAAGAGCTAGACAACTATATGATGCTACAATTCAGTTGAAGAGACAGAAAAGGTATTTGAAGAGACTTTGCAACAAATATAAAGAGAAGAGACAGTATCATTGCGTACCACGGATTATAAAGGCAGAATAGATAGCACCGCACCGATACGCCAACAATTCATAGATATGATGATGAGGAATAATGACGTAGGATCACAGGTAAAAGTTTGACTGACAAAATCTAGATACTTCCTGTAATATATTTTTATGATTCTCCTCAGTAACTTTAAAACGGTTTTACATGTTACTCATTGCTTATTCCACAGTTAATACATTCATACATTTATATTTGTTATACATTTACATTTATATATTTATGTTTATTTATACAATTTATACATTTTTTCACTGTTTATATTTGAAAATGAGCAAATTATGCCATTAATCACTGACATTCAGTGATACGTTATGAAAGTCTTTATTGTTCACAACAAAATAATGAAACAATACGCTAAAATCTTTTCAACGTTACCGGAGGTTATAAACCTGACGGCATATATAGTCCAGTGTTAGGCACTTTATTAAAATCCAAAATCGTAACGCATTACACATCTAATAATATCGTTATGTGGTGTATAACCCTTCGAGGGACATTGTTTCTACTGAACACATTTTTATGAACATTTGTATTTATGTTTTTTGAGTCGCTGATTACGAATCTAACATCCAAGTTTCAAAATATTAATATCACAATAACAAAGTTCGTACGCAGCTTATTTTCCTTAGTATTATTGTACCAAAATTTATTTTAATTACGCCTCTTGTACATTCTGTCTGTCTTCTTTTTTTCATAATTTTTTTGTTATGCATTACGACGTACGAATTAAATGTTCGTTAATACGAAATAGATTAAAGAAATGGATTAATATGTATAAATTTATGTAATAAGTGCAAGTATATGCGAACTAAAACGTCTGTATAACTTATATTCAATATATGTATACGTTTCTTCTCATGCATTATGTATGGAAAAACATCGCCTTACAATTATATAATTATCTGCTATTTCAATAATCCAAATATTCCTTGTATATAAGGCTGCTGCTCGCTGCACACTATCTTCAACGTTAATGTGACAAGCAAGAAAATGATATAGTTACGATAGAAAATGTAATAATTGTCAGTATTAGGAAGTATGATTTAATACAAATACTTTCAGAAAATTGCGTTTTCAATTATTTGAACACATCCTTTAAATCATGTAAAAACTGTCCTCTTCCTATTTTCTATCAATAGCCAAACTACTTCCTATTAAAATGACGTTAAAGAGTACGGCATATTTTACATTATTTCTCGTTTCTGACGTCACAAATAAAGATGGCTGCGCCTGAGGTGCAGGGGCTTTCTATATAAAACCCATTGTACAATAGCAGTAAGACGTAAACAGTAAGCAAAATGGCCATTCACAGTCGATTATTCCCCGACCGTAAGGTGAATAATCGACTGTAATTGATCAATTTTCGTACTGCTATCGTAGAATGGGCTTCAGAAAGGGTGCACCACATAGATTGCAAATGTTAATTACATAGGTTGTTCTAGTTCTCGCTACTTTAATGTATATTACATATTTGTTACCTGAAATGCAGATTTAAATTATACGACAAAAGATTGTTATATATATATATCAAAGATAAAGAAAATTAAATATATTTGTGTACGGAAAAATAGGACACCCTGTAAAAATTTCCATTTTAAATAAATTAGCTTGTCATGTACAGAAAACATTATAATTTATTTTAAGAATTGTAAGTTAATAATCTGTGGTAAAGCATTAAAAGAATCTTAACGTTGTTTGAATAGGCAAGACGTTATACAATAGAAAACAAAATGTTTTGTATTGGGATATATCGAAGATCACGCTCCTCTTACACATATCTATCAAAATACCTGCTGTGCCCTTCTCCAACGACGTTAGACACCCAACTGCGACACATTCCCTTCGACAGTGAATGCAACAAGATTATTATGAATTATTTACACTTGGTTGCAAAAGAAATAAGCAATAAACAAGATCTGCACACGGTTTTATTATGGAACGAAATGTCTTTGCATCCGGCAGTTTTTTATAATACGTCCAGAGATCAAATTGTCGGCTTTGAGGAATTGGGGCATAACACGAACTCGAAAATTTGCAGATAATGCCATAATTTTTTATATGAAGTGTCTTGCATCCGGCAACCATATGCCCCTTGATTATGGATTTGCAAATAGCGCTACAGGTATCGTACAACTTATGAGATGCGTGAAACAATGGCTTATGTTCATAATTAAATGTGGATTTAAATCTGCTGCCACCGTATGTGATCAAGGAACACCGAATGTGTCATGTATTAACATGTTGATAAAAGATTCTGATAAATATCGACAAATGGAGCATAAGAATCCCAGTAAGTATATTTATATTAATGTTTTTACTTATTACACCATATAATTTCAATTGTTGAAATCAAATGAAAAATTTTACAAAATGACATTATTTTAATTTAGCATTTTTTTCGTAGCCAGTGGGCAATGTACTCATTATGTCTTGTACTTTCAGAAAACACGTTTATAATACAAGGTGAAAAAATTATTCCACTGTACGATTATGTATATATACAAAAATCAGTGCGGAATAATTTGCTAACAAAGGATTTACTTGTCGATAATCGGAAAAAAGGCGAGGACAAACGATTTGCTTCTTGGAAGAACATAGAAACAGCATACGAAATGGATAAATATTCCTTTCTGAGGCAGCGGCAGATGGCAAAATTAACGAAAAAACATGTCATCCCAGCATTAACACGCAAAATGAAAATAAAATATGCAACGTAGATGTTAAGTCACACTGTTGCGAACTTTTTGGATGTAGTACTAACTTTGAATAAAGGTATAATATATAAATATAAAAAAACATTTATGTGTCAATTTTATGTATCATATAAGGTGAAGTAAAAAGAAATCCATTATTTTTCCAATAGATGGCTTTAGTAATGTGTATCTCGCGTTGTATAAGTACGATCGGTTTACGCTAAATGGCGTTAGAAAGATAAGATTGTGGCGCCCCAATAACGCTGGGCGCACACGCACATGCATACACACCTGTGCAGCAGCCGCCACGCGCTGATAGGCGAAAGCAGAGACTACTGCCGCGCCAAGCTTTTGCGATCGCGCCGTAAGTGCTAGAGACGGTTTTCTCTCTACAGTCGGTCACATCAGGTCGAGGGAAGTAGAGGCCGTTTCTCTCCTGCTAGAGATATACACACGTTTCTTTGTCTGGACTGGCCATCCTACGTATCGCGGTGTCCTTCGTGTGGTGCGTGCCGGTTCGTTGTTGCGACACATATGTGGTCCTCACTCGTGCCGGGATTGAGAGAGATAATCGTACATTTATTCACAAGGACTCAGTGGCGTAAACCTTTGTAAGGTATTATGCCGAGCAGAACCTCGTGAAGTGTAACCGCGGGAAAATTGCTGTGTCGTATCATAAAACACGCCATTGTAACAGCGTTGCACGTGCGTGTGCTTGCAACGTCAGTCACACGCGCGCATTAGCAGTTAAGGTATTTCGTGTCTCGCTACGCATATTTCCTGCTCGCTCAAGTGTATGATTGTGCTGTGCATACCCGGGCAGTGATCCTGATAGCCAAGTCTGCGCGACCAACGCTCGGCCGAAGTTTGATCTCAACTGTTAACCGCAACTTGACATCAAATTTGAATCAACACTTGATACATCAAATCCTGCTGCCAAACTGCGGTAAAATACGCGACAAACCTTGACGTCAAGCATTGAGTGTAAATTTACACCAAACTGCGCGCAAGCGTTGCGCTCAACACGTGACATCAAGTTGGCGGCAACACCGCAGCAACGGTTGCGCTCAAGCGCTGAGCGCAACTTGACATCAACTCAACATCAACGGTTGAGCAAAATCAGCTGTTGCTTTTAATGAAACGCATAGGTATATATAATCTATATTGTTAGGTTGTGATTTTCAATAACATTAAAGAGGATATCTGTGCATATATATATATTTTTTTTATTTTATACAAATGTGAAATATACTTTATCCGGTTTGCACCACCACATCGACAGTGCTTGCTAATGAATATATACTGCGACGATACTCGACGGCAGCGGTGGCGGTCCTCTTTCTCTCTCTCTCTTCGTCCACTCTCTCGCTCCGATCACGCTCTCTCGCTCCGCTCTCTCTCTCTCTCTCTCTGCTCTCTCTTTCGCTCTCTCTCTGTTCTCTCTTTCGCTCACACACTATCGATACGGTAATATCCCAAAGTCTGTGCGCGGCAACGGTCGCGGTAAGGCTAACAGCTGATTGTTCCTGGGAGGATCGCGTATCCTCGCGGATCCTCCCTCGTCGCTGCCCCCTCGTCCTGGGATCGTCGATCGTCGAGAATCGGCAGATTTCGGTACTATTGTCTCGAGACACTTTTCGTCTCGA